TTGAAAAAAATATATTTCTTCTCAAAATGCTTTAATATTGACCATATTAATACACTTTGAAAAATTAAATGTGCACGGCTTGGTCAATATTCTTGCAAATTTTAGATATAATAAATAGTTATGAAAATCTGTTTGGATAACTTTTTGGTGATGACAACACTTCAGGATCTGAGATGTAGAAAGATTTTTAGGAGTTGTCTTGTTCCCAAAGATTCTAGTAAATGTTATAAAAGGGAAATTGGTCTTCTGGAAATAATGGAGGAATGATTGTTTAATACACAATTTCATTTCCTTTTTTTAAAAATTTTATCCAGTCTGTAACAAGTTCGGTAGATGTAGGGTCGATAAGGGACTTAAAGCATTGCATTTTTCTTAGGGAAAAGGGAGCAAATATGATTTTTCCATTGAAAATGGGCCTCTTCTTTAATATAATAGGGTTTGTTTTTTTGTTTTTTCTTCAGGAGAGCTTATCTCAATTTTTTCATCTATTTTGCACTTCAATTTATTGAGAAAAAGTATATCAATGTCATACCAGTTATGTATATACTGTACATATATTTGGGTAGGAAAGATAAAGAGTTGGGCTAAGGGACATTCTACCTGTCTTCTCCTCATTCTCGATTAGGGTAGATCAAAGGCGGATCCAGCGTCGGCACAATTTTGTCCCAATTTTAACACACTTTGAAAATTTTTTTCAAAGTGCGTAATTTTTTCAAAGTGTGTTGCCACACAGCAGGGTTTGACATTAACTTTAACAAGTACTAGACATGTCGGGCTACCTTCCATAATTTTTACAAGCCCTGACCATAAAATCACTAGCCCTGTCCAAACTCCTTAAAATCACTAATCTTAACAATTGTAACTTTTGAAACCGTCTCTCGTGCGTGTCAGGATTTTGAGAGCTAGACTAGCCAATTTGAGTCTGGTTCATCAGGACATGCAAATATTATAAGCCTTATAAAGACATTCAATAAACTTTACCGAAATTATTATCCTAAATATTAATAAATTAAATAAAGAAAATATTATTCGGTAACTATTTATACCATATTGATACTGAACAATACTTATTTCAACCGCAACTTGTCTATTATGTACAGCGGGCATGGCTAAAAATAGAGATTGTGTCATGTGGGGATTTGCGATGGCTGTGTTTACAATTGTACAAATAATATAATTTCTTTAAAATTTTTGAATATCTATTTGAAAGACTGAAATGATGTTTAATAGTTATTTTATCAACCCTACCAATCGGTCTAGTTCACATACATTTTACACGACCAGAACACTCATTTACTAGACTGGGTTGGTCGGACGTGCCTTAGTGTCAAACTCTGAGCAGTGTGCAAAATTATCCTTGTGTGATGGTCCAAATCTATCTCAAGTTGAATCCCACTACCCAAATCCAAATAAAAACAGACCACTTTGTCTATCCCAATTTTAGCCATGGATAAAACAAGACTGATGTCAGAACAAGAATGGGCATTATATTTAAAAGTAAATAATAAGCAAAATGATTGTGGAAAATAAATTCATACTTTTACATTTTGTGTTAAAAGAATTAAAAGAAGTGAATGGTCATTCTTTAGTAACACCATTAAAGAACGGCATGACCTAGCTTCCTACAAGACATTGCAACCGCAAAATCACTTGAAAAAGTCTTATCAAATTTTACTCAGTGGTATAGGAGGATTTATGGAGAAAGGATGCCCCTCAAGCGTAACAGACGTGCAGACATACGGACGAAGGGATGGACGCCTTTATTCCCCTACTTTTCGAAACGGGGGTATAAAAGAAAAAGTCCGCCATGTTTGTTTACATTAGGAAGCACGCCTCTTGATTTTCTTCATCATGTAGACATATTTATACCCCATATATCGTGACAATACAATCAAATAATGCTAATCGTATATATTGATTAAAATACCATACCTACTGATTGTTACCTTCCTATATGTAACATTTAAGATCAAAATGCAACACCTACACTTTCTTACCTGTTTTTAGGTATGTCGTTCATTTTTGTTTCGTTAATTTTTACTTACCTAGCTCTTGCGTAAAATGCTTCGACTCAAGCTTTTGTCGAATAAGAACCTACTGATATAAACAGGCACGTAGCATCGGGGGGGCTAGCCCCCCTCCCTCCACTGTTTTCCTAAACATAACTTGGTACTGGAAGAAGTTGGAACCCCCCTCCTTTTATTTTTGCTTGTCAAGTTTTTTTTTTTTTTTTTTTCAGGTATTAAAGTTGATTTTTTTTTCCTGACTGCCCCCCAAACTTTCAATAAACGATGCTACGTCCCCGATAAATGTTCTTGCTGCATGGTGTCAAAGAAGATGGGCGATTAATCGAAATAAAATTCACTATAATTATAATACATATGTTATATCATTAAAGGGAAAAGTTTTTTTTTTATATACCCAAAACATATGAAAAGAGATTTCAGATGACAAAAAGAATAACCTTTCCATGTAATAATAACTCTGATCACGCTCATAATTTTTGCAGACTATGCTGCATATCACGATGACGGACAACGCAATAAATGCGACGTGTAGATAAAAAAATATCCTTGCGTCAATTACAGCTACATCATATTTATAGCAATTTCTTTTAAAATAGACTCGTATTTATTTAGGAATTTTGGACCTATAATTAACATCCGCAACAATAAAAATGTTTCGCTTTCATATCTCACACACTCCCATGTTGGGGAATACCTATCATACAAGTAATGATTATTTGGTGAGAAGTGAAAATTACATTGAAACATAACAACAACTAAGACTTTCATATAGTTCAAAGACAGTTTTAACATTTTACTCATAATTTTCATATATTTAAAATAACGTTTCGTTTCTCCATGTGTAATTTCTAACACAACTACAAAGAGATAGGCAATAATGAGTACAGAAGACGATAAAATAATCATAATATCGTTTACATATTCAATGCATGCGAGATTTTTAACTTGACCGTTTTACTCTTGGTAAATGAATAAAAATATACGGAAAACAGCTACTGGCAGTAGTTAATGGCTATCATTACAGACCGTCGAAAAAAAAGTATAGACCATGCACATGTCGAGCGAGATATTACCATACCCCCCCCCCCCCCAATAAAACCATGTCCATGCAAAACTCGCTGATATAATTGATATTCACTTAAATTAAAATATCACTATATCACACTTAATGCTTACTGGTATTATGTGTGGTTGGGATATTTTAGTGTTCTAGAAAATGACCTCTTCATTTAGTACTTGCATGAGGTTTACCTAGCCTCCCAAGTAATACTGGAATTTTGCCTTAGGACTTCCACAAATGCAGAGATTTATTCTTACATGTATTTAACTTGAAAACTTTTAAAAATGTAGCCCCTTTGCCAATAATTACTGAAAGGTCGCTGGTTCAAATCTTGCTGTATGTTATGTGTATTTGGCGAAAGCACTTAGTCTGTGTTGTTAGTCCTGAAAATGGGTATCGGCTTACCCTGGGAGTTAATCTGCGAAGAACCGGTGTTCCATCCAGGGGGAGCATTAAGATCACCTCTACTAAGGGCACCTGTTACCTGTAATAATGCACCCTATACTTACCTATATTGAGACCTGGATTATGTCTACAGTAATATTGGATCTTATTAATAGTACAAAGCTCTCACCTACAGGATGTCACGTAACCAGACATGGATCAGGGTTCTCCCATATTTTTTGTCCAGATAAATCCTTTCCAAGTCATGGGGCTCATAAGAGCCTGGGCTTATGTAACAGAGACATTTATGTGCATCTGTTAGGGATTGAACCCGGTACCTCTGGCATGCCAGGCCAGTGCTCTACCAATTGAGCTAAAGGGTTAACCCACTAGCCCTAGCTAGTAGGAGGCCGTGCATCTGACACTACCACATTGTCCCCCTCCAAAGAATAAAATGCCCTCATCTCTTTTGGAATGTCAACGCCTGTGGGGCAAAGTTCTGGGGGCAATCACTTTCACCTGCCAGAGAACACACCCAGATCCCAACATGGAGCAACAAATGTAACAGAGACATTTATGTGCCTCTGCTGGGGATTGAACCTGGGGCCTCTGGAATGCCAGTCCAGTGCTCTACCAATTGAGCTAAAGGGTTAACCCACTAGCCCAAGCTAGTAGGAAGCCGTGTATCTTACACTACCACATTTATACCTGTTTTTGTGGTGTTTATAAGTGAATAAGAGTCACTGACTCAGCTCATCAGGTAGCTATTGTAGGTACAGTGGGATTCTATTACAGATAGTCTTTATATAGGTGCAGTGGGATTCTATTACAGATAGTCTTTATACATGTTATATAGGTGCAGTGGGATTCCTTTTATAGGTAGTCCTGATATAGGTGCAGTGGGATTCTATTACAGATAGTCCTGATATAGGTGCAGTGGGATTCTATTACATGTAGTCTTGATATAGGTGCAGTGGGATTCTATTACATGTAGTCTTGATATAGGTGCAGTGGGATTCTATTACAGATAGTCTTTATATAGGTGCAGTGGGATTCTATTACAGATAGTCTTTATATAGGTGCAGTGGGATTCCTTTTATAGGTAGTCCTGATATAGGTGCAGTGGGATTCTATTACAGATAGTCTTTATATAGGTGCAGTGGGATTCTATTACAGATAGTCTTTATATAGGTGCAGTGGGATTCCTTTTATAGGTAGTCCTGATATAGGTGCAGTGGGATTCTATTACAGATAGTCCTGATATAGGTGCAGTGGGATTCTATTAAAGGTAGCCTTGATATAGGTGCAATGGGATTCTAATACATGTAGTCTTGATGTAGGTGCAGTGGGATTCTATTACAGGTTATCTTGATGTAGGTGCAGTGGGATTCTATTAGAGATGGTCTAGATATAGGTAACTTGGGTGTTCCTTATATAGGATCACTAGCTGCCCTAAATAGCTGTAGATGTTGTCCTCATTAATAGTCTTTTCACAAGGCAAAATATAATCATTATAACATCAACTGGACTTTTTACATTTCATTGCTTTATTTCAAAGAAAACAAGAAAACTTGTCACAAAAATATAAAACATCTGATGCATGAAAGACAATGGACAAGCATAAAACTACCACCTGACATGTCTTAAAGATATGAAGAATAATGGACATTTTTTTTTTGGGGGGGGGGGGGGTCAGATTTTTCTAAAAGCATGTCATGAACATGTCATATACATGTATATTTCAATCAAAATGGCAAGAAATAAAACTGTTAAATATTGATCTCTCTTATCGTTAATACAAGTCATTGTATGGATGCAACAAACTGTACAGAATTTGAATGCTACCTCTGAGAATTAAATAAGCAAAAAAAATTTTCATCTGTGCAGTCAAGTTTTGACAAAACAAATTGTGTTTGTATTGTCCCGTGAAATGTCCTATACGTGGTCAAGATAATGTTTCAAGGAAGAGGGACATAATATCAAACCATTTTCTAAAAAAAAAGTCTTCAGCCCATTCCATTGCATAATACACATAAAAATAAAATTATGTGAAAAATCTTCCATTTACACTGAACTGGTTTTCCATTTGAGCCTATGGATTAATCAAAATGATGTGCATGGTCACAACACAGTCTCAAGTCAGTGTTATCCATACAAGTATCTCGTAACATGAGGTATAAAATAGTATAATATGTACATCAGAATGAAGTCAACTGACATTAAAATGGACTAGGTAAGGCTGGTGTGACAACACTGAAATACCAAACAGCCCAACCAAACATTTCATTGTGAAAATTTTTACCATTCTACCAATCTTCCTATCCCTCAGCATTAATACACTACCCTTACATTGTGTATAAAGCAACAACATAAGAATGATGTCCATTTAAAGCAGTACTGGGGGTCCTCAATGACATCACTGTTAACAACTTTTCCAAATCTTCCCAGAATTTCCAGGCCCTCAATCGCTCTCGCTGTCATCGTCACTCAACTCCAGATCTTTACCTGTATAAAGCAAGAAAGACTGATCAGAATTTACCTAAGTCACTCATAGGCTAACCAGAAGTCTCTGACAAGACTGTAACTCTACAGACTGCTTGAAATGGTCTGAAATAAGGTACACCTTGATTTCAAATACTTCCAAAGAGACTTTTGAAAAGTAAGATCATGTCATCATTTGAATCAGAAAGAGACAAGAACATTTTAATAACTTCCAATACTTGAAACTTTTTTTTAATGCTGATTTTTCCTATAAAAATTTGATTCTCTACTGAGGCGCAAGGGTCAATGATATTTATGAACAGTGACACAGTTTTGGTGAAAATGCAGCACAAACACATTTATTTATGATTTATGAGGTCACCACACTGCAATTACATATATTAAGTGTGTTGAAGATGTTCAACATTTTGTACTCAGAATGTTGAAGTTGTTATTCACTTTTTTTTGTGTTTGTTTGTTTGTTTGTTGTTTTTTTTTTTTTGTTTTTTTTTTTTGGGGGGGGGGGGGGGTAACAGGTCTTAAACACTTACATGTGATATCAGAAGTGAGTTGTTTTAGACTTACCCAGGATATTGGAGGAAGGAGGGGCTGATTGATAGAGAGATGGAGCCTGGGATCCAAACAAACCCTGCCCTGATTTCTCTGTAACAAAATAAAAACTTAACATCAGAAATGTATAACCATCTAAAAATAAGTATTACATCTTACAGGTAACACCAAACAAACCACATCCTGCTTTCTCTGTTACAAAATAAAATCTTAACATCAGAGAGATGTACAACCATCTTAAAATAAGTATTACATCATACAGGTAACACCAAACAAACCAAATCCAAACAAACCCTGCCCTGATTTCTCTGTTTCAAAATAAATTCTTAACCTCAAAGAGATGTACAACCATTTAAAAATAAGTATTACATTATACAGGTAACGTACTGTAATTGTATTATATTTAGCCTGGATATTAGGCTGAAATTGATTGTTCAACAAGTTAGCATAGAGTTCATTGACTGATATTTTTAATCTGCTTACATGTAAGTATAAACAAGACAATAATTAATGTACATGATTTAATGGAAGCTGCTTTCTGCTAAAGGTGCTACATAGCATACACAACCAAATGCAATATGTTTACAGTATTTCTAAATGCACTATTGGAAACTGCATTTTTAATGCTAATTATTTCAATTGGGTTTTGGTCCAAAGTTTATCAAGCCGGAACTAAAACTGATGTAACCTTATTCACAGTTTCATAGATAACATTATGTCCTCTTGATTTTGAACATCAATCTTAATTTAAGAATATGTGAAATCCATAAAATAAGGTATACTTTGTTACAGTTTTGGTTTAGAAGCTCAGAAGGAAAAGAAGAAATATTTGTAAGATCAAGGAATCGTAGGGATGATTGACAGACTTTGTTCACAAGAGCTACGATGAGACACAGGTGATCTATAATCAGTAAAGAAAATTGGTTTAATTGATATACTGGGTAACTTGTATAGGCATACTCACCATTATTTGTTTTGGACTCATCTTCTGAGTCACTGGCCGAGTTATCAGACTCGCTGGATGAGTCACTACTACTGCTGATAAATCCAATCCAACCTAAACAGAAAACATACTTCAACAAAGTGACATGGGGTATCCTTGATTTGTGTATCATGTACTTCCTTGGATTGTTATAGCAGCAAGTCTTAGTGGATAAAACATGCAATTCAGAAAAATGAAATTAAAAGGAAATGCTTTAAAATAAAAAAAAATCATACAGAGGAAAATTAGCTTTAGTTCTCACTTTACCTCAAGGTACATCTTCGCTAGCCAAGGGTTTCCGATCCGAAATCTACTCTACAACCCTTGGGTTGTAGAGTAGATTTCGGATCGGAAACCCTTGGCTAGCGAAGATGCTCAAGGTAGGGTCCAAATGATTTTCAACAATGATAACTCTTTAATTTAATAAATAACTGAAGTTCTTAAAAGGGTCCCCTAAATTGGACATTGTAATATTTCATGAAAAAGTCTGTCTTACTCTGTTCTGGTTTCTGAGAGTCCTCCATTTTTGGGTCATCGTGTACTGGGGTGACTGTTGGGGACTCCACTTGGGGGGTCGGGGGGCTAACACTGATTGAGGACGAGGCCACAGCTTTCTGTTTGACAGGGGATCTCTTGTTGACATCCACAGGGGTCAAAGGTCGGCTACTCTGGGTTATTTTGCTACTGCCCTCCATTCTGTTATAACATAATATTTTGCTATATTATTTTCATAAAATACTGAATCAAAGTGCATGTTGACAAGAAATATAGGCATTTTCCTGATCAAGGCAAAAACAGTCATTTCTCTGTCCTTTAAAATTACAAACTGCGAATCATTGAAAATACTTGTATGGAAATGTTCAGGTTAGGATCATTTTTGTGAAATTGGTCATCGGAGAAAAAGAGCTCATAACAAATCTTTAAGTATCATATTGTCCATTTTCAGGAAAAAAATTTGCACATAGAAGGATTGGTTACCAAAATACTGCAAAACTTGCACATGCAAATGTTTTAGCAACTGACTTTTTAAAAAAAAGTATATATTCAAAAGAAACACCCTTTTAGTTTTAATCTTACTTTTACCTTCAACCTTTTAAGAAGAGTAACAATGCATCAGTAATAGTTGTTGAACATATTAGGAAAACAACATAATATATCCTACACAGTGATTACAAGACAAACCTGGTCTTTTTTAAGTTGACGGTGTTGGAGAGTCTCTCCAGAGTGAATGCCCCCGTCTGATGGTCTATAATGAGGACACATTCCTTGGGACTCGGGCGCTTGTTCCCTTTGTACATGGTGTGTGAGGTACCTGAGCCCTATAATGAGGAGATCAAGTATCCATGTATCACATATTTTAATGTCATGCTATGTGAGTTATACGTTAAGTATCAGAATCATTCTTCAAAACTGATATCTTGAACACTAATATCTCAAACACTGATATGATATCTTGAACATTGATATCTCAAACACTGATATGATATCTTGAACACTAATATCTCAAACACTGATATGATATCTTGAACAATGATATCTCAAACACTGATATGATATCTTGAACACTAATATCTCAAACACTGATATGATATCTTGAACACTGATATCTCAAACACCAATATGATATTTTGAACACTGTTATCCCAAACATTGATATGATATCTTGAACACTGATATCTCAAACACCGATATGATATCTTGAACACTGATATCTAAAACACTGATATGGTATATTGATCACTTATATTTCAAACACTGATATGATACATAGAACAATAATATCTCTACATCTGATATCTCAAAAACTGACCTTAAATATAGAAAAGAAAACTTAAATACTGATATCCCAAACAATATCTCAAACACTGATATCTCAAATAATGGTATTTCAATGATTTCTCAAATGCCTGGAAACATGTCAAAGTGAGTTGGCCACACCAATCTCAATATCAAAATATTTCATTTGCTAGGAGTACAATTTCACAAAAAAACTTCAGTTGATATGGCTACAGGGTAATCTGTCCATGTAAAACTTACAAATTTATCACTTTCAACAAGTTTTAGACTAATTTCTTTATGAAATGAGCTGATATTTAGTAAGTTTTGATTTGAATGATTGCATGTAAATTTTTGCAGCTTGTCAAGAATTTCTCATTTATCTTCACATCTGAATTATCAAATCAGTTTTTTAAAATTTCAAGTTTTACTTCACTGCAATAGAACATTGCATTGTAGAATGTATACTTAAGATTAGTCTGGAGATTAACAAATTTAAGTCAACCTCAACAGTACAAAGTAGTTATCTTAAAGTAATGAGTATTCAGTAAAATTAAATGTATGCAGACTGCAGAGGAAGTGAAAACTGATAACTGGATAGTTTAAACCATGCATCTTCTTCCACTGGCCTTTAAAATCTGTTATTAATCTCAACATAAAGTCCCCATGGCCCAAAACTTTAACTCAATTGCGCTTAACTAGGGATGTCAAAATATTTTTTTCCTTAGTCGATTATTCGATTGCCTTATTCGAACAATAGTCGAATATTCGGAACATTTTCTGAAAATAAAATTTTATTTGAAACTTCACTGATAATGACGTATTTATAACTCAAAACCCTTTGACTTAAATCTATTTAAAAAGTAACATCCAAATGAATGCAACGTAACTTGTGGATAGCATGATTATATGAAATAAATTTAGAAACCTTATTCTCCAGTATGTATGATTTCCTGTCAATCGAATTCATAAATCGGTCTGTACATGAAGTCAGATTTTTTATTAATTAAATAATAAAAAATTGTCAGCCAATATTTTTTAAAGATTATTACGTAATAAATTTGGGGAGGTTGGGGGGGGATCTCACACTATCCACACGTTAGGTTCCTGTGAAATTGTTAAACAGTTAGATACTGCTTATTCAATTATTGATTACTGATCCTGCTGACAAAATGGCTTTATACAGTTTAAAATGTAAGCGAATTTTTTAAATAATTATCAAAGTGTCAAAACATGTCACAGCTATGATTTGTTCCTTGCATTTGATCAATCTTGAAATAACGAAAGATAATTGATACATGGTATAAGATCAAGTCCAATAAATAACTTTACAAACAAAGCCCAATATATTGGTGGGTAATTTATCAGAAAAACAACACAGTTGTTATTAACAAATAATTATCGCAATAGCGCAGACTTAAATGACTGTAGTTTCTATACATGCATGGAAAGGATATATTGAGGAAAATTATCTTATTGACTGTCTCTGAGGAAAGACGGTTTCTCAATTTTGTGATGAGAATTCCATCTTGTCATCAAGCTTTTATTGCACTTATTTAATTATAATAATATTTGAATGTTGTTTCATTATTCGATCGTCAGTCCATTCGACTGATAGTCGAATAATCGACTATTCGTTGACATCCCTACCGTAAACTCAGAAAAAATTGTGGGAAAATAAGTAACAATAGGTTTATAAATAGAAGTGACACTTTACCTCCTTGTAGTTTTAAATATAGAAGTGTCATCTTTACCTCAACGTGCGGCAACCCCACAGTCACCTGGTGCCCCTCCCCGACATCCACCAGCCCTTGTTGTGACGTATCGACCGATGCTGGCATGAAATCATCTGAAAAACACATATATATATTATCACTTAAGACACTTTGTTGTACAAAGTAATGACTGATGTCACATTATTATTTGTTTACATATTGTATAACAAGGTGGCAGACTTGGAAGGTTCCAGGCTCTCCTGCTATATTTCATGATTAGTTTAGACCTCAGTGTACCACATCTCCAGATATGAGAGGTTTTATTTATTAGATTCAATCTGAGTTTCAACATGGGGAGTTTCAGGATTTCTGTGACAAATTCCCAGGGAGCACCTGCTATCACTGTAGATATTACCAAAGAAAATCCTTACTGCTTATCCAAAGCCATTGTAAATGATAAATTATACATTGTTGCTCTACCAAAACAATGAAAAAATTCATTTTCTTCCCCATGCTTCTGCATTGGGTCTGTTCACCCTATCTAATATCTACCTGTTCACATGAATCCGTTCGCCCAGAGTCTGTTCACTATTATTATGGCCCTATTGTAAATATCATCTTAACATTTCTGTTGCATCTTAATAGTGATGGGAAATTGGAAAAAAATCATAATCGATTATCGGTAATAATTGGCTGCGCATAATTGATTAATAATCAATTATAATCGAATTTTTAACTTAAATGAAATAAATATAACAAGAATCCCATGGGCCACATTGCTCACCTGCGCACACTGGCTAGGCAAAAGCACAAATCAGTTCAGTATTGAAAAGATTATCGGGAGGGGGGGGGGGATGAATTTTAAACTACCTGATGATGCTTCCATGTCAATATAACAAATGGCTTAACTGTACTTGAGAAGACTTTTTAAAAAAATTCCCATATATTCCTTTGTAAAAATTTGATCCCCATTTGTGGCTCCTCCCTATCCCAGAGGTCATCATTTGAACAAACTTGAATCTACACTACCTGAGGATGCTTCCATATCAATATGACTAAACATAGCTTTTCTGTTCTTGAGAAGAAATTTTTTTCTATATGTTATTAAGTAAAACTTTCGATCCCCCACTGGGCCCCACCCTACCCCCGGGGGTCATCATTTGAACAAAATTGAATTTATACTACCTGAGGATTCTTCCATATCAAAATGACTAAACATGATTTTCAGTTCTTGAGAAGAAGACATTTTCCTATATATTCCTATGTAAAATTTTCGACCCCCCATTGTGGCCCATCCCTATCCCGGGGGTCATCATTTTAACAAACTTGAATCTACATTACCTGAGGATGCTTCCATATCAAAATGACTAATCATGGCTTTGCAGTTCTTCATCAAAAGATATTTTCCAATATATTTCTATTTAAGACTTTGATCCTCCATTGTGGCCCCGCCCTACCCCACGGGGTCATGATTTGAACAAGCTTGAATCTACACTATCTGAGAATGCTTTAGTATAAATAAGACCAATTAGGGCTTTGCTGTTCTTGAGATGAAGATTTTTAAAGATTTTTCCTATATATTTCCATATAAAACTTTGATCCTCCATTGTGGCCCCGCCCTACCCCAGGGGGTCATGATTTGAACAAGCTTCAATCTACACTACCTGAGGATGCTTCCATATAAATATGACCAATTAGGGCTTTGCTGTTCTTGAGAAGGAAGATTTTTAAAGATTTTTCATATATATTTCAATGTAAAACGTTGATCCTCCATTGTGGCCCCACCCTACCCCCAGGGGTCATGATTTGAACAAACTTTAATCTACACTACATGAGGATGCTTCCACGTGAGTTTTATCTTTCCTGGCTGTGTGGTTCTTGAGAAGAAGATTTTTAAAAGATGCTATTAATTTTTCACTAATTCTTTATTATCTCCCCTTGAAAGAGGACATGGCCCTTCATTTGAACAAACTTGAATCCCCTTCACCCAAGAATAATTTGTGGCAAGTTTGGTTGAAATTGGCCCAGTGGTTCTTGAGAAGAAGTCGAAAATGTGAAAAGTTTACAGACGGACGGACAGACAGACGGACTACAGATAAAATGTGATCAGAAAAGCTCACTTGAGCCTTCGGCTGAGTGAGCTAAAAAAGTTAAACTTATTCAGATTTAACACTTTAAGTTCAAGTTTTTACAAAAAAAAATTATTTTATTAATTATATTCATAAATGTTTATTAATTTTTTCATTTAATAAAGTGGAAAATAGGATTTCTTTACTTTACAAACAAATATATTGAATGGGAATTTACTGTAAAAAAAATCTCACTTAAAATATTGAATGGGAATATTACTGATATTAGTCTTACCTTGCATTACATGTAGTATTTATTTCTAATAATTAAAAGTTTAAAAAGTAGGTATCCAGAATTTGGACTTGAATTCCTGATTATAATTACGTTTACAGATCGTCTGTACTGTTTATGTTTTTCTGTGTATAGTAAAACCTAGTTCTAAGTAAAACCTCTTAGATAATATTGACCGTTTTTCTGTTATTAGTCTGACCCTAAATTCAATCATGGCGGTAAAAATATCAACATGGCATGGACACCTTCGATATTTTAATCATTCATCACTACTTTAAAACTCTTTGCACATGGATTTGGTAATAAAATTTAAGTATTTATTTACAATATTAATTTTTGTCAGCGATGTCGGCGACATTTATTTTGTAATCGATTTGTAGCATCGAAGAGCTCCTAACGACCGACAATCGATCGTCGTCGACAATCGGCCTATCACTACATCTTAAGTCACTTTTTAGTATTTTTTTGTTAATAGATGTAGGATCTAGGAAACAATTTTTAATAACTTTCAATTAATAAATTCATTTGACTTCATTTCCAATTATTAATGTTTATCAAAGACATAAACATGATAAATGGTTTAGTAACTTTTGATAATTTTAATACTGTAAACTAGGAAACACTTTTTTTCATAATTTGCATTGCTTTGAAAACAATTTAAGAAATTAATCTATTCAACATTTCAACTATACAATATGTACGTAATATATAATTTACACTGTAAACAAAGAACTTTGTTAATTTTTCTACCCCAGTTATATTGCGAGTTTTAAATTTACCACTAAAAGAAAAGTGTTTAAAATGTGAGTTTCATTTCATACGGGTCACTAATTACTACCCATTATTACAACATCTTACATCAACAGAGAAGGTGAAATTTATTATTTTATTAGTAAAGTGTTGAATTTTGGTAGAATTAATTTGCCACTTCACATGGCTTCTACAATAATACTAAAAATTAATATAGTACCTTTTCTGGCAATATACGTACATGTAGAGAAATGCCTTGACAAAAAGTTTGAACCATAAAAATAGTAGTATGCTCCATAAAACAAGCAGAATATTTCAATGTGTCTGGAATCTTCGTTTTGATAAAACAATTTAAAAAGATGAAATATCATCATCATTTTTGTCTTCTTGACAGTTGACTATTTTTTGTAAATTAAAAATTGGCCAATAACACTTCCACTCTTTCTTTAGCTTGAGAATTTTCCACTTTCAACATAACAAGTACTGTAGTCAACTATATTAGAGTAATAAAGTTTGTTTACAATCTTTCATATCCTTTTTTCGGTTAGTGAATCTAACAATTTTTAAAGAGAGGTAACTTGGTTTTTCAGTAACACTCTAAATTTTTATGACTGTTTTTCGCCATTTTCTTAAGAATACGAATTTTAGTCACAGCAAAAATTAATTTGTGACTAGTAGAAATCATTTTCAGAATAACATATATTTCAGTTCCACCCCCTCTTGACTGTTGTGCAAAAGACTTCGTCAGAATATTGTATTCAATCTATTCAAACCTGTGTAGGCTTCCACTTAAGTAAATAATATCTTACTTTTTCTAGTTAGTATTCAAACATAAAATAGCATCTAAGCATGAACGGATCTACTTACAGCGGAAAGAGTGAAAGGCAACTCGAGATTTTGGATCAAAACTTGAACCTAACTTGAGTTCATGGACTTTGCTATCGACTGGAAGTATCTTCTCTGTCATTTCAAAGGTAAATAATTGTCCACAGTAAAGGTAAAAGTAAAAAAAGCACCAAAATAGGCCAACATCTGCTCAACTTGATCAAGGTTTTTCAATACTGTTTAGTATATTTGGAATACCGAGCCCGATCAAATTTTGCAATTTCCAGCAGAGTGATGCATGTTTAGCACAGGAACTTCTGAAGACCTACATGAGCACTGTCAAATAGAACTCCGGCATTACATATATCAACTTCAGAGTACTTGAACCGAAATGATTTTAGCTAAGTACTGTAATACACTGATTGTGTTCAAGGCTCTTCATTTCATTATCCAGTTTAAAAAAAAATTGACAATGTTCCTGCAATAATAAAAATTTCTGTACAACTCTGAGCATAAAAATCTTACGCTTATAAGTCTTTTAAATATTTCATTTAGTTGTCGAGAATTATTTTCTCTAAACTCATCAACATTGATGTTATTCATTTCATAACAAATAATGTCATAAAAATGTATACACATTGCTTTTATGTATGATAAACCGACACATACCCTAAGCAAGGGGCATATGTGACGTTTAAAGTACATTACGACATCTGACTCATTTCTGAAATCTGTTCAAGAATAAAAATTCACAAATATAAATATCTACATTCTGAAAAAACTTGTATCATTATTTTAACCTCATGGGTACTGTAATCTCGCATATAAAAAACACTTTTATACTTCAATGATGACCCAGAAACCCAGGTAAAGTAAGGTAGAAAATAGCTTGAGTCCCCCCCCCCCCCCCCTTTTCAACGACGAAGCTTCAGAGCATTGCATTTGAGGTATTATTGCAAGCATTTTGATACGTGTCTACATAAGATAACAAAGTACGGTGTAGTGCTCTATGCATGCGTGTCTCAGTAGTTGCAAATTATCTCGTAGAAGGACATCAGGCCTCAGATAAATAATGTTGCATTCAATCAGTGGCTGATCCACAAGTTCGGGGGGGGGGGCCCAAACGGCCGAAGGAGGAGGATATGGGAGGGGTGTCCACCTCCAATTAGGGGGGTGCGGGGGGCCTTCCCCCGAGAAAATTTTGTAAAAAATGTCTCGAAATTTTCCAGCATTTTAGATTGAACCTGTTTTTTTTTCTTGCTTTGACAGGGCTTCTACTGGACATACATAATAGTTTTACCAAAATTAATTATACGAAGTTGTAAACGTTCACTAGGTTTTATTATACATCATTTGATGGTATTTTATTTTTTTTTTTAAATATTTGTAGAACTTTTGTTTTTAACAAGTTTATCACACTGTAACTTCCATCTACACATGGAACACTATTCAATGCATTTTTTTTTTCACTTCAGCATGATTTGGGGACAACCATTTGATTAGAAGGGGGGGGGAGGGGGTGGCAGATTTTTGAAATAAATAAACTGACCTCAAAAAATGTTGAAAAATAAATAATCTGTCCTCGACTGGCAAGAAAATGAATAATTTGACTCGAAAATTTTGCTCCCCCTTCCAACATCAAATGGTCGTCCCCTTAAACTTTACTCTTTTGGTAAGGTTCACAACGGTAAACCGTCACATCTGGAGGGTCTACTTTCCCAATAGTAAAGCCAATCTAATTTTCAAAATATTGTATTACGTAAAGGAGAAAGGCCGAAAACTGTCCATTCTGTGAGAGAAAGAACTAATCTCGGGCCGTAGATTAGTTCTTTCTCTCACAGAATGGACAGTTTTCGGCCTTTCTCCTACTTAAAACATGATTTCCTTTGTTCTGCGAATTTTTAAAAAAAGGTACAAAACAGGTAGCACACAAACTATGACAATTTCACTGTTTACAGAATGGACAGTCACAGGTAAGCTTGGGGTGCTCAGCAATTTGCTGAATAGCCATTGTGTTTCCATGCAGATGCAAATAACAAAAGGTCTTTGTCTTAAAAATGGACATTTACAGGTGGATTTCGGGGGATACTAGTATTTTTATAAGAATGCGACTCTTCAAAATCAGTTTAGAGTTTGCGTCGTAAAGACATACATATTTTCCTCCGAAAGAGAGAATATAAATGAAAAAATCAAAATCGAATTAACCAAAAGATGCACAAAATCAGTGATATTTGGACCTAGGAACAGAGAATAGTAAGAGTAAAAGAAAGAATTAGCCAAACTTCGACAGATACAGATAATCGAATTCGAATCAAATCTGGAAATGTTTTATTTGAATTTAATTTTTGAGGATACTAGTATATTTATTGCAGCAGTGTAATGGTGAAATGCAAATTGTGTTCTGAGTGTTGGATAGCCAGGAGCCAAACTTTGACCTGAAAATGTATTTCAAATCAAATCTAGAAATGTTTCAATTTTAATTAAATTCTACGGAAATGTTCACTGCAGCAGAGTAGTGTTCTAGGTGCAAACTGTTTTCTGGATAGTGGATTTAATACTAGCCGTACTTCAATCTAAAAATGGAAAAATGGAGGGAACGATGTTTCCGAAATTTAAATCAAATGTCGCGGTGTCATTTAAATTCAAGTTTTGTGAAAATTGAGTATTGAAGTAATGTGCATTATTCATGGATTTAAATGTGTAAAATCGAGCGGGTGCCCTCCAGACACTGTGTTCTGGATTAACTTAAATCTTCGCGTTCCTTTTGTTATTTACATGTAAATTAAATCGTATTTAATATATTTGCTTTTGTTTCCCTCTTTGGCACATTTCAAACTTTACCTGTAACTCTCCATTCTGTTTGTTTAAACTGTCCATTCTTTTAGGAAAAAAACTGTCCATTCTTAAAAGAATGGACAGTTTTCCAAAAAGAATGGACACTTGCAGGTAACATAATGGACTGTTTGGGGAGTTAGCTCAACATTAAGCTATAGAATGGACAACACAAACAATAGGTTTACGTCACAGTCATGTTTTAAGTGCACTGTAAACTTGTACAATTGGTAATTCCACCCTCCTGTGATGTCATAGAGTTTTGCAAAAACTGATATTAATTTAGATGCATACGCAATAGAAATATATCTTTTGGATGAATGATTTTAAATAGGTATAATGCAAATTATTGTTTAGTAAAAGAATTAAAAAAAAAACCCCGTATATTTTCTCTATTTAATGATTTATTCAATCTTTAAAAAATGTTGCTAAGGACAATAACTCCTTCTCCTATTTCTTCATTCAAACATTTTCTTTATGGTACATGTAATGTACATGTATGTAATGTACATGTATGTAATGTACATATATGTAATGTACATGTATGTATGTAATGTACATGTATGTAATGCACATGTATGTAATGTACATGTATGTAATGTACATGTATGTAATGTACATTTATGTATGAAATGTACATGTATGTAATGTACATGTATGTAATGTACATGTATGTAATGTACATGTATGTATGTAATGTACATGTATGTAATGTACATATATGTAATGTACATGTATGTATGTAATGTACATGTATGTAATGCACATGTATGTAATGTACATGTATGTAATGTACATGTATGTAATGTACATTTATGTATGTAATGTACATGTATGTAATGTACATGTATGTAATGTACATGTATGTAATGTACATGTATGTATGTAATGTACATGTATGTAATGTACATGTATGTAATGTACATGTATGTAATGTACATGTATGTAATGTACATGTTTGTAATGTACATGTATGTAATGTACATGTGTGTAATGTACATGTAGGTAATGTACATGTATGTAATGTACATGTGTGTAATGTACATGTAGGTAATGTACATGTATGTAATGTACATGTATGTAATGTACATGTATGTAATGTACATGTGTGTAATGTACATGTAGGTAATGTACATGTATGTAATGTACATGTAGGTAATGTACATTTATGTAGTTAATGTACATGTATGTATGTAATGTACATGTAGGTAATGTACATGTATGTAATGTACATGTATGTATGTAATGTACATGTAGGTAATGTACATGTATGTAATGTACATGTAGGTAATGTACATGTATGTAATGTACATGTATGTATGTAATGTACATGTAGGTAATGTACATGTATGTAATGTACATGTATGTATGTAATGTACATGTAGGTAATGTACATGTATGTAATGCACATGTATGTAATGTACATGTATGTAATGTACATGTATGTAATGTACATGTATGTAGGTAATGTACATGTATGTAATGTACATGTATGTATGTAATGTATATGTATGTAATGTACATGTATGTATGTAATGTATATGTAGGTAATGTACATGTATGTATGTAATGTACATGTATGTATGTAATGTACATGTATGTAATGCACATGTATGTAATGTACATGTATGTAATGTACATGTATGTAATGTACATGTATGTAGGTAATGTACATGTATGTAATGTACATGTATGTATGTAATGTATATGTATGTAATGTACATGTATGTATGTAATGTATATGTAGGTAATGTACATGTATGTATGTAATGTACATGTATGTATGTAATGTACATGTATGTAATGCACATGTATGTAATGTACATGTATGTAATGTACATGTATGTAATGTACATGTATGTAATGTACATGTATGTAATGTACATGTATGTAGGTAATGTATATGTATGTAATGTACATGTATGTATGTAATGTATATGTAGGTAATGTACATGTATGTATGTAATGTACATGTATGTATGTAATGTACATGTATGTAGGTAATGTACATGTATGTAATGTACATGTATGTATGTAATGTACATGTATGTAATGTACATGTATGTAATGTACATGTATGTAATGTACATGTATGTAATGTACATGTATGTAATGTACATGTTTGTAATGTACATGTATGTAATGTACATGTGTGTAATGTACATGTAGGTAATGTACATGTATGTAATGTACATGTGTGTAATGTACATGTAGGTAATGTACATGTATGTAATGTACATGTATGTAATGTACATGTATGTAATGTACATGTGTGTAATGTACATGTAGGTAATGTACATGTATGTAATGTACATGTAGGTAATGTACATTTATGTAGTTAATGTACATGTATGTATGTAATGTACATGTAGGTAATGTACATGTATGTAAT